CAGTGTAGCAGATACAGACATCCTCTCTACATCATCTGAGGAGCGACAGAAACAGTGGCCAGATTTTTTTGATATCCCAGAATTTTCTGTTGATGTAGCTTATAGACTTCGACAAGCAGATCTGCTGTTTCTTCGTGATGGTACACACCTGAAAGTATCAAAAGAAATAAAACACGAGATCCTTGAACGATTGGCAGAGAGCATGTATAACTATGCAGCATACCCAAATAATGCTCAGTTTGAAAGTGTTGCACAAGCCCTCATAACCAAGCACCCCTGTCTCCAGGAGCGAGGCTCAACCAGTCGCTGTAGCGGCTGGAAAAATAGTCTAAAATTTAAAATGGCTAATTACAGAACAAAGCGCAGAAGGTCAGGGTGCCTTGATGTAGCAGTAAATGCAGGTAAACGAGGAGGACATTTAACTGAAGGAGAACCAGCCAACAAGAACATCAAGAAGGCAAAGAAAGGCGAGCTCAACTACTTACCCAACTTTCCAGAGGGATTTAATCAGGTAGCCCTTGAGTGTGCCCGCAAAGACTTGGTCAATGAAATGCAGAAGAGAACACCAAATGGACAACTAGTGAAAGAGAAAATGGACCTGACGTTTTCATTAAGAAGAAAAGAGGTGGTGGAGTCAGAACCTGCCATAAGCGAGATGATGGAACGTTGGCCTGCGCTTTTTACAGAAGATCAGGTTAGTTCATAAATAAGTATTTTTTTTTGCATGTGTGTCTTGTCATGATCTGTGTTTTTGCTTTAGTTTTCTAGTGTTTCAGTGTTCCCCTGTGTATCTCTGCCCTGCTCCAGCCCCTCCCTTGTTCACCTGTTTTCTCTTGCGTCTCCTCCAGGTGTTTCTTGTTGTCCTTAATTAGTTTGCCTTTATTTTAGTTGTCCTGTGTTCAGTCTGTGTCTGATCATTGTTTGTGTACTGTGCTGTCTTCCGTGTCCCTCCTGAGACCTTGTGTGTTTTTGCTGCCACGACAGCCCTCTTTTTGTTCTTTAATGGAATCCGCGATTAGTTGAAACATTAGACTTTAATTGAAAAACATATGGACTTGCGACCTGTCCAGGGTGTACCCCGCCCCTCGCACTGTGACTGCTGGATATGGGCACCAGTGACC